ATAGATAGATAGATAGATAGATAGATAGATAGATAGATAGATAGATAGATAGATAGATAGATAGATAGAATTTTAAAGATCAACATTCAACTGAAACCAGAGCTCTTCTTGCTGGGATTAATGGACAGTCAATTAGTAAAAAGCCATGGAAGATTGTTTTTATATATGATTACTGCTGTGAGGCTATTATATGTGCAAAAATGGAAAGATTCCAAAATACCCACAACAGAGGAATGGTTGGTGAAGATGACAGAAGCAGAGATGGCAAAATTAACTTGTTTGATTAGAGAAAGATCAACTTATGGACTTTCTGCTGAAAATAGAGAAAAATGAACTTGTGATTTATGGGTTTGTAGATTAGAAAGGGTAGCTTATGGAAAGAAGGAAATTATGATATAACCTTAGACAGAAAGGGTAAAATATAAATGCATTTATAACCACTGTCAAAAAGATTGGAAGGCGCTTCTTTATAATCTTTTTTCTTTTCTTTCTCTTTTCTCTCTTTTTTATTTTCTTTCTTATGTATTCACTATTCTTTCTTATTTTTTTTGTTTCTTTTCTAACATTTTTTTATCTTGTTAAAATTTCTTCAATAAAATTATATTAAAGCACATAAAAGCAGTCAATAGGACATGACTGAAAAGAATATGATAAAATCTTCATCTGTAATGTAACTCTATAATGCAAGTTAGTCCTATTTTCAATATATAACATCTATTAGTAGTTGTAACCACACCAATACTGTAAAGAGTGGAGGAAGTGAGCAGGACAGAAGCTCAAAATGTCTACAAAATATTCTAGGAACAGGTAAGGAAGAAGAGGAAAAGAAGAAACAGCAATGGTAAGAGAGCGCCAATTCACAAGTTTAGCTTTCCAAATGTGTTATCCTATCCGTATTGGGGTAAAAATACTACAGGTATTTCTGCAAGTAGACAATGATGAATTTACTGGAAATTTTTATTTTAATTTCTTAAAATTAATTAAATTCAGTTAGTATGATAACTCACAATATATTTAATAATTTTTCCATCTTTATCATTTTAAAAATTATAGTTTGGTGGCAATTTTTGTAAGGGCTCAAGAAGTTCCCTTTAAAAAATTTTTTTTGTTTTTTTGGTCAATCTACCTGGGTTCCCCAATTCCATAGCCATTCTGTGACTCCAAATCAAAACTAATTCTCTTCTTCATTCTATTTTGTCCTTACCACTTCCTTACCATTTCCTCCATTATGCTTAGACAATTAGAAAGACACATAAACACACTGCATCAACATTTTTTTGAAGATTTTCAGCAAATTAAAGTGTCCTAAAAATAATGAAATGATCCTACAAATATCCTCCCCCCCTCACCCTCTGCCCCAATATTTAATACATACTAGTATCTACATTGGACTCCAAGGTAAGAATGCGTTGTCTTGTTTCCATATTAAAAATGCTCGTATACCCATTGTTAAATGATGCCACCATGAGGCTTGGGTCGCTGCTCACTAGATCCACAGATGATGGGATTCCCATTTCTACAAAAAAGAATGTCCGGAGTACAAAACAAGTTTAAACAATTACCCTGAAGTTACACCTGAAATAGCTGTATTTATTTTAGCATAAGTATTCAAGTAACAATAATTTAAACATTACCTGAGAAGTTAACATACACAAGAAATATGGTTTCTTAAGTGCATAATAAACAAATGAATTAGATGTTGGAATAGTAGAAATCTATCTCAACAGTGAATCATCAAAATCTTAATTAAGCTTTTATAGATATCAGTCTTTATCTTTAATTCAAGATTTACCAAACCAAAGCAACATCAGAAAAAAAAGCATAAAAAATATTCAGTGAAAAGTTGATGGAAATACAAAGGTAATTTAGGTGGAATCAGCACAAAAATGAGTCTAGTTATGACATTCTTTCTAAGGAGAATCCAACCAACAGCTAAAGTGATAACATGGTTATAGGGAAGAGAACAGACATCCTACAAAATCAGATAAATATATATTATGGGAAAATATGGAATAAGCTATATTATGGGAAAATATGGAATAATATTTCTTAAAGATAAACATATACTATAATGTTGCTTTCGTTACTTTTTGATATGAATACTCCAATGATGAAGCCATATGTGTAAGTCTCAGATTATAGTATTTAGTCCACAGAATGATGGAACTTTGAGTACTGCACATTTAGAGAGTATAAATAATTTCTTTCTCCAGCAGTGACTACACTACTCTACCATACAACGTAAGTGCACACACTTTCTCCAGTTTGGAGCCTTATACTATATTTGATAGGAACAGATTGTCTTATCGTCAAATAGAGGCCTACATTTGCCTTCCTGTGAGCAAACTTGTGCAAAAGGAGTTTCCTTTTTTTTTTCTTCCCTCCCAAAAAGCCCACCACCTTAAATCATGCATCTAGATCCTGTGGAAGATACATGGAGTAATGATTGGTGAACGGCAGAGAGAGAATTCTATCTACCAGTGGTATTCATTCCAATGACTGGCAGAGTACATAATTGAATATAATCTACGAATTGCTATTATATTTCAATCTCCAGCTGTATGTAGAAAATTAAAAACCATCTCTAAGATGTATGCTTTGAAAAAAATGATGAACATCCTTTGTAGTAGTTCCTATTAAAAATAACTGATCTTATGCAAACATCCATTCAAAGCAAACCGATAATTTTTATTCTGATCATTAAGAAGTATAAACTTAGCAAATAATGAAATATAATAATACTATATACAGCAAAAATACACTATATAATAGCATGCTTCCCAACACAACTTCAATGCAGTGATGCTGGGAATCCATTACTACTATACAATGGAATGCTAAACTCAACCCATTCTATTCAGTTGTATAATCTAATCAGATATGTACATAAATTAAAGTAAATACAATGCAGTCTAAAAAACAGAAGACTGTACAATACCTTGATTATCATTAAATATATTCAAAGCAGGAGAAATCTCCAAAGCCTTCCATAAACGTATGGTGCCATCTGCTGAACAGGAGAGCAAGCGCTGGTGTGTTCCACTATAAACCAAACCCCATACTGCATCTGAGTGGCCCACAAATGCACCTCGTAAGATAGAAGGATCTGTGAACAAAACCATACATTTCAAGATGACAGTTTTTAAAAAATATTTTCATAGCTTTTGTGTGCTTTGTTAAATTAAAACATCAGTATCTTTTTAAAGGATCTATCTTAATTTTTCTCAGAACACTGATTGGTGAATCATCTTTTTTTCCAATCAAGAGATTATGAGTTTATTCTAAATCTTCATATTTATATAGAATTATTTAATAATCGACCTAAGATTGCTCCTGAGAAGTCCTATCTCACACAACCTGTTTCCTAGGTTTTCATATCACCAGGTTCTTATTAATATGTAAGAATATATATAATATATTATTATATATAAAATATATC